GCGCCTGCCCTCACCTGCTGCACCTGGGCCGCTGCGCCTGCCCTCACCTGCTGCACCTGGGCCGCTGCGCCTGCCCTCACCTGCTGCACCTGGGCTGCTGCGCCCGCCCTCCAGCCTTGAAGGCCCTGGCTCCTGCAGACGGGGTGTGCCGAGCCGAGCTGGCTGTTGCCCACGCATTCAGAAAGACGCTCTTTCTTGGTGTGCTGAGGGTCCTCCTGTGGCAATGTGATAAGAAGGGCTCAGGTGATGTCCACAAGCTGTCCAACGGCACTGACGACACTCGTCCCCAGAACTCTGGCACTATGGGCTCACTTCATTTGGTGACCCGAGGCATGGCCAGGGTGGGGAGGCTTACTCCACCGGCCAGGACAAGGCAGGCTTCCTGCAGTCCAGCTATGTGCCTGCCTATCTTCTGGGGAGGGGGCAGCAAGCACTGGGCCCCTGGACACCCAGCAGAAGCCCACAGGGTTCTGGCCTGGAGAGGACAAGTGGGACCCCGAAGGTGCTGGCCTTGGCCTGGGGTGGAACTCGGCCTGCGATGGACATGAGCAGGCCCGGGACCTGTGGGTGTGTCGCCAACCAGGCCACCCTGCCCACTCCTGTCCAAGGGCTTGATCACACCCTGCCTCTGGGGAAGGGCGCAGAAAAGCAGGCAGAAGGAGGACCAGGAAGGACAGCCCCAGAGGCATGGAGGGAAATGCCCAAGAAGCCAGAGAGAAGCCCCACGGCAGACGCAGCTGCATGGAGAGGAAGGCGTGGGTGGCCAGGGGGCCAGGACCCCCATTCTCTCCTGGGCACAGCGGCAGGACACCAGCACATGCAACACATGTGCGGGAGGTCTGTGGCCTGGCTTGGCCATGTCCACCTGCCCATCACTTAATGCACAGTTCCCTGGGTCCCAGTGGCCACCAGCTTCCTGTCAGGCTTCTTCCCAGGGCAAGCTCCTGGGTGAGCCTGCACCGTCCCTCCGTCCAGAACCCTGCCCTCGGCCGAAGCTCAGGTGGCCCCTGGACTGGGCTGTGTGTGTGGCCTTGGGCTGTGGAGGCACCTCAGAGGGACCACGCCTGACCCTCCTCCCCCCGGCTGCACGTCCCACAGCCCACCTGTCTCTGCCCTCCAGCCCCCCGGCCCCCGCAGTGGGCTCTCAGCTCCCCAGGCAGAGCCTGACTCCCTCCTGGCTGGGACAAACTCAGAGTGGCGTCACCTCAGGGCAGAGTTGACTTCCTCCTGGCTGGGACAAACTCAGTGGCGTCACCTCAGGGCAGAACAGCCTGTCCCTCTCTAGGGGCTCTTTTTGGTGTTTGTGGGGCTGGGGATGGGACCAGGGCCTTGTGCCTGTGAGGCAAGCGCCCGGCCTGAGCTGGTCCCCAGCCCCAAGCTCTCTCATTCTGAACCATCAGAAGAGGCCGATGTGCTGAGGGAGCATGCATTCACAGCACACCCAGCCGCGTGGGTCCGCATCAAGACTGGGTGAAACCCTGAGTTTTTGTCTCTCTCTCTCTCTCTCTTGCAGTAACTAGGATTGAATCTGGGCTGCTCTACCACTGAGCTGCACCCCAGCCCTTTCATTTTTATCTTGAGACAGGGCCTCACTCGGCTGCCCAGGCTGGGCTGGCACTTTTGCTCCTCTGCCTCCTGAGTTGCTGGGGTCGCAGGGAGGCCACGGTGCTCAGCCTCCGTGATACCCTTTAAAGAAGCCGATTATTAGCAGTTTAATTATTGAGCAATGCTGGGGACCAAACCCAGGCCTCACCAGGGCGGGCACGTGGGTACCACTGAGCTGTACCCCCGGTTTTGAGCAGTTTAAAACACACACGCATGCACACACCATGCCAAGGTGCAGCCATCGAGTGGAACTGCGGCTGCGTGGCAGCGCACACCAAGGCAGGAGAAGGCTGCCCAGGGCAGGAGCACATGGTCCATGCTCACCGTGACCAGCTGCAAGCCTCTGCCCAAGGTATGAGCCAGCAGTGCTGCCCTGCAGGCAGCGTCCACCAAATGGAATATCATCCAACACTAAAAGGCCACGAGCTGTCACCACGGACAGACAGACAGACCCCTCAGCTGCACACGGCTAAGCCTCAGAAGCTGGTGAGGAGGCTGCAGCTCGTGCGGCTCCAGCTCCCTGGGTAGGAGGGCAGAACCAGGGAGACGCGAGGGTCAGCATGGCCAGGGGAGGGAGGGAGGGCGCTGCAGAGGCGGACACCTCCTGACCCACCTGCCCAAACCTACAGAAGACTGCGTTCCAGTGTGGGCTCCTCCAGACAGCACACACCAAGCCCCACACAAGCACCACACCAAGCACCACACCAGCACCACACAAGCACCACACCAGCACCACACCAAGCACCACACCAAGCACCACACCAGCACTACACAAGCACCACACCAGCACTACACAAGCACCACACCAAGCACCACAGCAGCACCATACCGAGAACTACACCAAGCACCACAGCAGCACCATACCGAGAACTACACCAAGCTTACACCAAGCACCACACCAGCACCACACCAAGCACCACACCAAGCACCACACCAGCACCACACCAAGCACCACACCAGCACCACACCAAGCACCACACCAAGCACCACACCAA